TGGAATCTGAATTCATAGCTCTGGACAAAGCAGGGGAAGAAGACGAATGGTTACGAAACTTTTTGGAAGATATTCCTAATTGGACGAAACTTGTACCCCCAATATGTATACATTGTAATAGTCAAGCAGCTATTGGAAGAGCGCAAAACTTAATGTATAATGGTAAGTCTCGACATATACGTCGATGACATAATACCAATTGCTCTCTAATGGAATTATATCAATTGATTATGTGAAATCAAAGGATAATATTGCGGATCTGCTTAGGAAAGCTTTGACAAGAGAGCAAGTGAAATTGTCTTCAATAGGAATAGGTTTGAAGCCTATAATATAAGAGTTGACATAATGGTAACCCGACTGGAGATCCCAAGATCTATGTTCAAAAGAAAAACAAATTTATGTATACAACTTAGAGGAGCACTAAGAAGGAATTATAAATTCCTAACCGTTCCTATTATAAAAGTTAGTGCTAACTTGGAAATGGATGAGGTTAAGATATGCTTTTAATGACTCTTTAGCTCTTTTATAAGAGTGGGGTATTGCCAGGATACTCTTTAAATAAGTCACCTATGTGGGTGTGAGGCTCACTTCTATGAGAATTTTTAAAGCTGAATTCTCTAAAAAAAACTCATGAAACCAGGCAATATTCAGGACCAAAATGAATATAAACATGAGAACTATTAGTATTTCAAGAATATCAATGCAATTATTATGAACTTGATTTACTCTTAAAAAGTTAACAGTTCAAAGTTCTTTAACTACTGATCGACTATGTAAACTCCATAGTTTTACTAAGGAAAGTTCAAAGTCTTAGACTACTTATCCTGATGTAGCTATTCTTCATGAGTAATCGTACATATTTTTAAAAATAAATTTTATTCATGTGGGGGATTGTTGGAATTTTTGAATAAAACTATTTTTGTTAAAAGTGAAGAATCACAACTTTTCATGAACGGGTGCGTCTTTTGCAAAGGTTATGTCCTTTTATCAAAAGACATAACCTTACATGAAAAAATATGACTATTTGAATGACCACAAATAGTCTATAAATACGTGTTTCTTCTCAGTTTTGCAACACAGAAAAACTATCCCTAAAAATTCTCTCTTTTCTCCTCTGTATGAGTACTTAAATACTGTGAGTTCATTGAGTCATGTGTGTGAAGTTCCGCATTCATAGGTTGGTATATCTGTCCTATCTTGGGAGACAATTGTTCATGAAACCTTGAGCGCCGTAGAGGGAACAAAATTGTCTTAAGGAAACAACGCTACGTTGGGTTCAGATTTTTAATTTGTGTTTCCAACAAATGCTACTTCAACTTTCTATAGGTAAGTCTATGAGACCATATACAACATATTAGTGTATCATGTTAGTTTTTTATGTAATGTCATGTCAGTTTTTTTTTTCCTTCTATTACTCTTTAGTTTAATAATTTTTGCCCAAAAACTAACATTAGGTTTGTGAAAATAGAGGAACTAAAATGAAAATAAATTAGAGAAGAGTGTGAGGATTATGAATAAATTTGAGACCTAGATTCAGCTCCTCAGAGATATTTTTCTTGCCGAATATGTCACTTTTATTTATATATATATATATATATATATATATATATATAAATGTTAATCTATATTCAAAGTCATATTTTCCATCTCTTAGATAATTAACAATAAAATAACAATTTTTTAAAAATATTTAAAGACGAAATAGATATTTTGAAAGCTTTGAAAAAAAATCTGAAAATTATATACAAAATTCTAATTTAGTTCTGATAATGACTTAAATTCAATATTTATTCAAGGTCTAATTTGATGGAATTAAAAGTTTAACGTTTTTTTTAGAACTATTAAAAATTTAAAGTAAAATTTAAAAGTAATTTTTTTCCAATCATTTTTCGGTCTAATTAAAAAAAAAATTAATTATTTTTTTTATATTTCAAAATTATTTTTGAGCGTCCTACAAAAACCAAGATTATTATATGCTCAAGATTATTATATGCTCGAAATTAGTCGTATATTCTTAGTAGTAGGACATTCCTTACAAAAAAAGGACTTTTTTATCTCTAAATCTGATAAGATGTATCAACTTTTATTCAGAACTTTCAATACAACAAATTGAACTGTAAATTTACAAAAGTGTTACAATTTTTACTCCATTAAATTTTCACTGATTTAATGAAAATCAAGCTCTACACACAGTTAATACACAAAATCCAACAATAAATAACTTCACCAAAACATATAAAATCCAATAAAAATACCAATTCTAATGTTGTTATTGTCTGAATCCTATCAATTTTATGTGAAATATATATTTTCTAATTCATTTGCTATATATAAAAATACTTTCTTCAACAAAATTTTCAATCAAAACCTATCGATAAAAATAAAGTTTGAGTTGAAGACCACAGGATTTATGCAAGTTGATGAAATTAAAAATTTAAGGTAAAATATAACTAACTTCAAGGTTATGTTCCCAAAAAAAAATTATCTAAATATATTATATATATCTAAATAGTGAAATAATTGTTTCTAGAACACTCCCCAGAGTACTTTTCTAACAATATTGATGAAAATAGGTAAAAGAAAAGTATATATTAGAAAAGCAAAAAAAAAATAATAATAAAAAGTTTTAGTGGTTAAAAAGGGTAAAAATGTCAAGAAGAATATTTACTCTATGTGTATGACAAAGCGCGTTGACACGTAGGAGAGAGAATGAGGGATCTTGAGCATACATAGCTGGATTCCATTCCATATTCATCCCATACATATATTATTGGAAACTAATTATTAATTAATTTCACACACAATCAAAAAAAAAAATAATAATAATAATAATAAATAAATAATTTCACACTATTTTTATTTTTGTTAATCAGAGCTCATGCATCTATAATTTTTGACCATCTATCCACAATTTAAATGACTTAGTGGGAGAAAAAAATTATTTATACGAGTTTAAATTATCCGTCTCGATTAAAGTGATCATTTTAGTTTTTATTTATAAAATTTTAACACAAATTTTATACATAACAGAAATCTTTTAGTATAAAGTAATTGTGATACTCGAGTAGAGAGGAGAGCTATATGAATGAACCGATACCACATCTGAATGAGAGAGATCTTGAGATCATGGAAGAAGGGTCATGAAAGGCTTAAAAGAATTGATAATCATTATCTATGTTAACAAGGTGTACTTTCATTTTCGGTAACTCAATCGTAAGAATTCTAAAGTTAAACGTACTTGGCCGTAATGATTACATTTTAAGAAATATATTGAGTGGAGTATAGTGTTTAAATTTAAAATGAAATAAAGAAAGTACAATAACCAAAATGAACATTTTGAAAGTATATTAAAATAAACTAAAACTAAAAGTTCAGGCAAATAGTATTTTAGTTCTAATTCTAATATAATGAACACTATCATCCAATGTCAATTTTATGACACCTCATACAGTCACGATATCTACGCAGCTAAACAAGCTTGACCCAACAATCATATGTCGAGACAAATGTCTTTTATCTCAATGATTAGGGAAGTTATAACTATCCCAAGTAGGACTCACATGATTAATGCATAAATCAAAGGATGCTTACTCTTTTATGGTAACCTCCTGTTCAATTATGCAAGTAACGTTCGACCTTCAAAAGATAATTAAAGGCCGTTTGTTTCGTGGGAATCTGAGATTCCCATGAGATGAGTATCCAAATTTTCGTATTTGTTAGATATAAATGTTGAATTACCCGAATATTTGATTATTTCCATATGGAAGGTATCTGAATAATTTCTTTTTTTTAGTACAACATATTGTGGAGGGGATTTGAACTCGTAACCTTGTGGTTGGAGGTATATGCCAATTACTGGATCGCTTTGACATTTTTTCCCCCTTCTAGATACACACCATCGTGCTTAACTTTTTGGTAACACACTGTTTCTTCATTTTTTTATTCTTTATTTTACTGTTAATGTATTGATAAAAATGATGGTTTGATTTTTAAATGGTTTAAATACTATTTTGGTACCTATATATTTTTTTTGTTTATTTTAATTCGTATACTTTCAAAACTTTCATTTTGATCTCTATATTTTTATAAAATAATCATTTTATTTCATTTAGTTTTATTTTATCTTATTTATTTCAATTACAATTTTAGTTTGACATTTTTACCCACAAAATTTAAACAAATAAATTTGTATCCAAATTTTGCAAACAATAATTAAAATAATCACTTTTTAAGAGTAGAGAGACCAAAACGGACAGACAAACTAAAACAAACAAAAGATTGAAAATAAGATCAAAATTGTTATGGGTAAATTCTGACAAACACATGTGGACAACTCCCCAAGCACCACGAGGACCCAAGGTCTAGTCCGAACTCGATGAGTCGAGGAGTAGAGTCCATGTGCAAGAGGATGGGCAGTTCAACTCGTCCACCTCTCTCAAACAGAGTTTCTCAACGTGATACCTGCTGACATTCGACAGAAGTATGATCCTGCGTGTCAAAATATCATTAATGTCGGTAAAGGATCCTCATCCTAATGGTACGATCCAAATTTTCCGGAGTACGTATCCCAAAACCGCTCCCCTATAAATAAAGGAGTCAAACCCTTCTCAAGTATTATCTTCCACCTCAACTACTTGCTTTATTATTATCTCTCCCATAGAGCACATGCTGATGTTGAGTTTGGTCTAGTAAGTAGCTTGCCGGCAAGGAGATTTTCACATCACAAGTCTGTTGCTACATCAACATGGTCTAATTTTGACGTCAACAAAATAAACCAAAGTTGAAAATATAGAGAAAAAAGCAATATTTAAACATTTAAAAAAAATTATGCTTACATTTGCCTCGATCTTCTAAATTAACCTCACACAACTTTTTTTATTATTATTAATTTTGAAAGAGAGAGAAAAAAGAAAGAAAGAAAAAGAAAAGAAACCTAAAATCGAATATGGTGTTTACAAAGAGAGGAGAGAGAGAATTGGGCATTAATATGAGGGGTTATTCGTAAATTGACAATAAGTTTCAAGTCCATAAGTACTACCACCATCCTCTACTCCAAAACGCTCTCTCTTTCTCTCTCTCCCTCCTCCTCACAAACGCAAAATAAAAATGTGTACGGCGATTCTCCTCTGCATTGCGTCTCTCTTTTGTGCAACAATGTGGAGGGCCGACGCCAGAATCCCCGGCGTCTACTCCGGCGGCCCCTGGCAGAGCGCCCACGCCACCTTCTACGGCGGCTCCGACGCCTCCGGCACCATGGGTACGCATCTTCCTTTACTAATTAAGTAATTAATTAGTTAATTAATTAATTAAGTGATTGTGGGTTTCTGCAGGCGGGGCTTGTGGGTATGGGAATCTGTACAGCCAAGGGTACGGCGTGAACACGGCGGCGCTGAGCACGGCGCTGTTCAACAACGGGCTGAGCTGCGGCGCCTGCTTCGAGATCAAGTGCGCCAACGATCCGAGATGGTGCCATTCGGGCAGCCCGTCCATTGTGATTACGGCCACCAACTTCTGCCCGCCCAACTTCGCCCTGCCCAGCGACAATGGCGGATGGTGCAACCCTCCACGCCCTCATTTCGACCTCGCCATGCCAATGTTCCTCAAGATCGCCGAGTACCGCGCCGGCATCGTCCCCGTCGCCTACCGCCGGTCAGTCCCCCCTCCCCCTTAAATTACCATTTTGCCCCTCATTTTCATTTTCATTTCCTCCCTATTAGATCTTCTCAAATGTCTTTCCTTTTTACCCAAACTATTTTTCAGCGGTGGGATCTATCAGGTAGGGATTCCAATTTATTGACTAACTTTTTCTTCTTTCTTTTTTTTCATAGTTTGTTAAATTATTAAAATTTGTTGGTCTATTTTACCCCTGTTTATTTAGTTCATAAGTTTTTTATGGTCTCCACACTTTCTAGATTTATGTTAATTTAGTCGTTCAATTTTTTAAATAAAATTATTAAATATTTAACTTTCTGTGTGTAATAAATCTAAGATTCTTTTTAGTATAACCCTACAAACCCAAACAAGTTTTTTCTTTCTTGTTTTTGTTTTTAATTGGTTCCAAAACATAAATAAAAAACATTATTTTATAATACTTTTAAATCATGATATACAATTTATTTATTTTTAGAAACCAAACAAGAAAAATGAAACTGGTCCTTTGAGATTTATTCTTAATGTGAGAAATTACGAAATTGAGAGGGTTAAAAATTACGCAGGGTGCCATGCCGGAAGCAAGGGGGGATCCGGTTCACGATCCACGGGTTCAGGTACTTCAACTTGGTACTGATCACCAACGTCGCGGGCGCAGGGGATATCGTGAGGGTGAGCGTGAAGGGCACGCGAACTGGGTGGCTGTCCATGAGCCGCAACTGGGGTCAAAACTGGCAGTCAAACGCCGTGCTGGTGGGCCAGGCCCTGTCTTTTAGAGTCACCGGCAGTGACCGAAGAACCTCCACCTCCCTCAACGTGGCGCCCGCTGATTGGCAGTTCGGCCAGACCTTCACCGCTAAGAATTTTAGGGTCTGAACCAATGACAATGGACTGCCCTTTGACGTGGCGCGACCTGATTCGGCTGGTGTTTTTGACTGTGAAGTAAATACGAAGGAGGAGGCTGGGGAGGCTGAACAAAAGTGTGGCCCACAGTCTAAATTATATAATATAATGTAATGTTATTATCATTATTAGCAAGCAATTTCATTTTGACAAAAAAGCTGAATTATTATTATTATTATTATTATTATCATCATATCATCATTATCATTGTTATGTAGTGCAACTGCAAGTGTATTTTTGGTAGCTACTTTTATATGGTAGATTAATTGCAAATTTAATGCCTTTTCCTCTTCATTATTTTTCTTATTTTCTTCATTATTATTATTATTTTTAATTCTATTTCCAACTAGTATAAAATTTATTGCACATGGTTGGATTCACAAAATCTAGTTGATTTTGTAGTACTTGTTTGATGACAACTTTGATTTTGTAGGTAGGCTTGAATTTTATTTTGGCCATTGATTATTTTTTATATAAATTTTTTTACTATTATTTTATTGTCATGTGTAACAAATAGATAATATGATATTTGATGGAGCATAAAAATAACATCAAACATTAAAATAATTTTTTTTGAAAAAATATTAGGAATTAAAGTAAATATTTTAAAAATTTATGCACTAAAATAATGTAGTTGAAAGTCTATGGAGAAGGTGTATTAAAAAGAAAAAGAAAGTTCATGATACAAAAATTTGATCTAAACTTCAAATTTATCTTTTAGTTTTATAAAATTGAACTCTAAAATTACATAAGTGATTGAAATTAATACTTAACTAAAATTAAATAAAATGAAAATTAAACAAAGCAATGAGACACATAAAATTTAGCCAATTAAAGCATTTGAAATTAAATCGCACAAAATTAATCGTATGTAGTTTTAATTAGATACAAAAGAATATTTAGTGATATTAAAATATATAATTAGTCAACCAGCATGGGTATAGTTTAGTAGTAATTGGCACATAGTTCAGTAGTAATTGGCACATACATTTTTCTTTGAAGTTCTCATACATCCAATTTGTTAGGTTAAAAAATGTATACCTATATAATCAGTTAAAACAAACATTATTTGATATGTTATTATAATAATTAATCAACTAAAATTTTAAACAATTTACTATTCCTATCTTTTCATTTTTAAGTTTAATAATGTAGAATTGGAAATTTTAGATTTCAACATCTAATTTTTTTTAAATATATGTAATGCCTTAATCAAGTTACCAGTTGAGTTATACATAGGTTAATCTATTTTTATGTTTATTAAATGTAAAAGAAAGTGAAGGAATTGAAAATCCTTTATAAATTGTTGGACCCTGTACGAAATATTTCTATATCGGTTTGATAGTACCAAAAAGAAAAACATAAAATTTGGAACTATATCTACATGCATTTGATAGCACCAAAACTTAAAAATAAAAAAATATAACCTCTAATGTTATTCCTAATCGAAAGATAAAAAATTTGGCTTACTCGACATGATATAAAAGACAGTTGGTACGTTACGTCAATATTTCATAGATTGTGTTAATACTTTGAGACCTAAGAGGTATATTTCAAAGTTTTAACAATAAAGTTTTTTTCTAATGGAATATTTCAAAGTAAATTATAGAAAATGAATATTTAGGCATAGGGTTGAAATTATTAAAAATGGGTTGAGTGACCAAATTTCTTATCCCTATTAATTGAGTCACATGAACATCACATCAAAGCCAGCAAAGCACATGGGTGGGGCAAGCCCTCATTCCATTGGCTGCAATTTCTCTCTTCATATTTTTTTTCCTTTTATTATTATTATTATTATTATTATTATTATTATTATTATTATTATTTATTGTTTTTTTTTCTCTCTTTGGGAGAAAAATGAAGGGCCTTTGGATTCCAAAAGCCAAATCAAGCAAAAATACAAAAATGGCTTTGGATGCCAACTCAAAGCAATTGAGTTGTGTTGGAGGTTGAGAGTGGAAATGTTTAAAAGGAAAAGGGAATTTGGATTCCACACGGAAATTCGTTTAAATACTATTTTCATCTTTATATTTTGACTTCTCATTTTAGTTTTTCACAATTTCGAGAAAATTTTTATTTATTTTAGTCTATATTTTTTTAAAATGTCTATTTTGATCCCTATACTTTTAAAAAGTAATAATTAGTCCCTTCATTTCAGATTTAGATAATTTCTTTTGATCACAACTTTAACAAGACATGGATTTCTTGAAAATGTAGTCATGAAATTGTATTAAAAGATTTCTATTGTGTATAAAATTTGTATTAAAATTTTACTATTAGGGACCAAAATGGTTACTTTTTTTAAAAGTATAGGAGTCAAATGGATATTTTACGAGTAGAGAGACTAAAATGAACAAAGATTGACAGTAAAGGATAAAAATAAATGCCAAACCGAACATAGCTCAAGTGGTTAAGGCACTATCTCTGACCAAAAGAAAATAGGATATGGATGAGAAAAAAAACGGTAAAGAGTGCGATTACATGAAAAGAATGGAAAAGTAAAGATTCTAAAGAATGTGAGAATCAAATCTTTCTCTTATGTTTGAGAACTTTTCTTCTTTTGAAAAAAAATAATTGTGGATATTTAAGTTAATTTATACCTATCTTAGATTAATTTCATAAAATAATTGTCTTATTATACCAAAATTTTACATATAAGAATTCATTATTTATACATTCTAAATATCATGATTTAAACTTAAAATATTTGAACTAACAACTTTGTTCCTCTAATTGTTGGACAAATTTAGGATTGATCTTCCGTATTAATAATTAGATATCTTCGGTTTATTAAATTCAGTCATCTTAACAACAAATGGTCAAAATTTGAGGGAAAATAATGGTAGATTTGGAATCCTAAGGAAAAAAAATAAAAAAAGAAAACTAGGCATTTGAAAAATAAATAATATACAAATATTACAAATATACGTGTACAACGATTTTTTATTTTTTATTTTTTGAATTTAGAATTGGATCAGATTTTAGGAATATTATCAGGCAGGAATTGGATCAGCTCTCTGTCCCCGTCCTTACCCCAAATTTTTTTTTTATTATTATTATTTTAAAAAAATATCAATTAAATGTTACTTCGTCGGATCTTTATTTAAATGGTTAAAGAATCTCCAATTCAAAAGAAAAACTCTTAATTTTCTCATAATATCTCATAATTCATTTAAAAAGAAATCCTAAAATTTAAATTTCATAATTTAATTATCAATACAATAATAAATCCCAAACGTAACGTCACAACATCTAAATATCTAGGTTTTAAATTTTTACATATATATATATATATATATATGTATATTAAATAATAAATAGAAAAATAAAAAGGACAGAGATAAGCAACATATTTCATTGTCACTATTTAGTTCAGGGGAAATTTTCTCCCAACCCTCGCTGCACGGCGTTTAAGCGACGATTACCCGTCCTCTTTGGTATGGATCCCTGCAAGAAAAAATAACACCCCTTAGATTAGATCATGACTGTTAAGAATTGTATCTCTAGTATAATATTATTCGTTTTGGACATAATCTTCACGATTTTGTTTTTTTATTTCATTTAAAAGGCTTTATACCCTTAGAAATAATTGTTTTCATCTATACATCATAGGTCAATACATTCACTAACAGTGCATCGTTTGCACTCATTGCAACTCAATAATGGCCCAGAGGCCAACTTAATTTCAAAATTAGTAATTAATTTTCAATTTGAAGAATTATCGAATCGAATCAAATTTATTGGTTAAAACTTCAACTTTTTAATCAAGGTTTGGACCATACTACCTGATCACTACGATAAATGATCCAAAGACTACTTTCCAGTAAGGTCTACTAAACAATTTTGAACATCTGCTCCAAATTCCTCTGGTAAATTTGAACAAGGAGACTCTAAATATATATCGATGAGAGAAAATTTTGTGAAAGAGAAATAAAATCTTGTATTCATTAAAATTATTTTAGAATTGAGATTTGAAAAGTTATTTTATAATATGAAAATCGAAATGGAAATAATTACCATTGGAATTATTTATGGATGAAAATCAATCTGAATTCAATTTGACACCTTTATGGATTATTGTCTTGCAGACAATTTTGATAGTTTGAAGTCACTTGTTGAGTTGGTTTGGAGTCTGTTCCATAGGCGAGGAAGGAAAGTGTTAGGGACAACAAATTCTCCGTACATTTCCACAATAGTATAGTATTGTTGTCCACTTTGAATATAATAGTCCTGGCTTTGCGTTTGGAATCGCCCAAAAGKCCTCGAGATGTTTCTTCCCTTTCGCCGCAATCCCAACAATCCTTCTCTCGAACAAAGTATCACAAAGTCTCCCTTCAAGTAGTCATCCATCTATCCAACTATTACCTAGGCCAATTCCTCTTTTATGGAGCACACTGCCTGTTTGATAAAGCTCACACAGATCATACCATGACTACCATCTTCCAAAATTCATCACTTATTTGTTCTAACACCGGAGGATTCTACTAGCACAACTAAGTCAAAGAGACCACCATTCACATCTCCATTAATATAATATTGTCCATTGTAGGCATAGATACTTATGATTTTGTTTTTCGTATCACCCAAAAGGCCTCATGTTAATGGAGATGTTGTCTCAATTATATATGCACTATGTGTCACAATCACATTCTAGCAAGACTCACAAAGTGATTGTGTAACACTTGCTATTGATTGCAAGCAAGTATGCCAATTTGAAATAGTACAGCCAATGACACTCGGGACTATCTCACAATTGCCACCATTATTTTGGAGAAAATTGTAATAGAAAACATGATTGGAGAAAATAAAAGTATAAGAACGCCTTTTGGAAAGCATGTTATAGACTTCAAATCAAAAGAGAAACAATAACTAAACAAGAATATAACTTAAAGTAAGAAGGATGATCACTAGTGGTACCCTGCTATGAAACATTTTAAAGCATTTTTCCTATGGCAGACATGAGCATGCAAAGTAGAGAAGAGTTTACTCTATATGAAAAGTACAAGGAAACAAAACTAATATGCAAACTAAATACATTAAATGAAAGCATGAAGTAAGAAGACATTATGAGCATGCGGCCACGGGCATTAAGCCATGAATGAGCATGACCATGATATTCTCTCTCACTTAAAATGGTTGACGTCCCTATCAATT